AACACTTGCTATATCAATTATTTTTAGCCTCCTTCCAATTTCAATTCATTTCTTTTACTTTTTAGATTATTCTCACTTTTTGCGTATTCTTTAATTTCCGTTAATTTAAATTCAGTTGAGTTTGACACTTTTCAGGATTTTGCCAGAAAAAATTCTTCTGACTAAATCTGACTACTTCGGACTGATGGGAGTCGCTCTCACTGACTGTTGCTCTCTCATTTTTGCTGTCATTTCCGAGTTAAGGAACGCTTTTTGGACTAAATCTGACTACTTCGGACTTTTTCTGACTATTTCTGGGAGATAAGGAACGCGCATAGTATAGACAGTAACCAACCTTTTTGGGTTGTTGTTGTAGTAATCGTTGTTGTTGTAGTTATATTCACTCCTGAGGAAGGCACGGGGTTGTGTGCTGCTATTTAATGGCCTTCCTCAGACTTTTTCTTAGATTTCAGGGTTGTGTGCTATATTATTATTAGATAAATAAATTTAAGTATTTGTCAAATCGTGATTTTATTAAAAGAAAATTATAAATGGTGTTGAAAAACCAAACAAACCCTCGTGCGAAAGCTCTATTTTTGTGTATTGTTAAAATTTATACATGGCGTACTTATTCTTTTGTGGACTTTATGTTACTTGAGAATTTAGACAACGTGCGAGCTGGCAGGTTCTGTTATCAATATAATTAACACAAGCTTTTCCGAGTGGTTGCCTTTCAATAAAAAGAATAAACAAATATTCGCAAATAAATTGGATTTATTTTATAACTGACAACTAACCTACGCTTTTTGTTCTTTTCTCCATTTTAATTTTGACTCCTTATTACCGCCAACAACTTCATGTGTATACATATTTACAAGCTGTCAAAATTTTGCGTAGTCCCACGAGCTAGGTAAAAACTATGGCATTCGTATTCACAACGAGAAATCTCAAAATTTTTGTTTGGTCTTTCCAAATTTTCTCTTTTTAATCAGTTGGCAAAGGCCCTCAGTGGCAGCGCTCCGAGCGTTGAGATAGTAATTTCATGTCAATTAGTAGAAAAGTTCCATGTTGAAAAAACTTTTTATTATGGCGAGAAAATTTTTCATTTCTGCTGTGCCAATTGGTAACTTTTTACTGCTGGAAATTTTTGACAGTTGCTCTGGTTCAGAAGAAGTTGAGCAATTAAAGTCAGAAATTATACAAAAAAGACTTGTCTTTACTGACATTTATTCTTCTTGAACTAAAAGCCATGCATTTATTAGACGCCTTAGTAATAAAATTAGAACAAAAAAATTCTTCAAAACCATCAGGCCGGGTTGAAAATTTTCATTCACCTCATAGTTAACAAAAATTTACAATCCGTAGTACTTTTCTATCAATTCTCAAATACGTTTAATTTAAATCGTTTAGAAAATGCGTCATTTATGTATACCATTTTATGTGGAATTATTCAATAAATTTCGTTTTACACTATACTTTTTGAAACTATTTGGAGTTAATTATTTTTTGTTTCTAAAAAGCAACCCTGCGTGCTTGGAAGGCGTGTGTACCAATAATTTCATCCCTAACATATTCATCCCCGAGGAAGGCAGTCGCCAAATTCACCGAAGGTTGTTTACTGGTTATATTGTGACTGAAATGATCATATCGCTTATCTCTGGAACTGCTTATGCTAACTTCCCATGATTCAATAATACAAGGTTGTGTAATTTGTGACAGCTAAAATTTGACACTCCTTTATCTAGGTTTGTATTTTGGAAGTAGGAGAAAGGGGAAGAATGTGATCGCCTTTTGCGAAAACGGTAGTAGAAGGGTACTACAAAAAGTACGCAAAGTATACAATTAGAAGTAAAGGTGTATTATTAATTCTATGCGAATTTGCAATATATTTGGTGTTATAATGGAAATACTAAACAATACATAAAATATGCATTTTTGATTTCAGTTATTCGTCATTTGCTGGAAGAAATCTAGTATACCGACCGTTCAGCTATGTAAAAATGAAAAATGCAGATCAATAGAACTTTTTATGTTCATTTCAACCATGCCAAAATTATTTGGCGCAAGTGAAAAATGAAGACGTTCTAGAAGGTTAAAATTCAGTTTTTTAAATTTTTTAAATATTGATTTGTCCTTCAGCTGATGCACAAAATTTATAGCTTTTTGTACTTTTAAACCAAAACTACTAAAAAACGAACAAATGTTATTTTTTCATGAAATAACCTTTTTTGAAAAAAGTGCATAATTTATGGTAAAGAAATTAATATTATTTAGAAAGTACAAGTTATTACCTTTAATTCGATATTACATATTTTGTCACTATCTACTTTTGGGTTTCAACAATTCAGTGATAATAAAAAATACAAATACAGTATTGGACATATCTATAGCACCCCCCTTTCAAAGCGATATTGTTTGCCACTTATGTTTAATTATTTGTTTTTAAGAATTTTCAATTGAAATACAGCCGCCTGCAGTAGTTTTCTATGTTCAATAGGAAGACTCTCAAAAATACTAAATTTTCCCTCCACACCCAAAGAGTTAAGCGGGATGGCAGATTTGAGAGAGTAGAATTTTATAATGGCTGCACTGTTGGGGCTCACGGAGTTAGATTTTACCCGGAAAATATCTTTGATTGGCGGAACCATGAAATCAATGGAGAGGCACATTCGATTGAAAATGCTTTTTAAATTCTCACCCTCCATATACGGCAACCCAAAGGCAACAGCATCAGCAGCATGATCGGAAGTCGCCTTCTGCGGCAGTACACTTTC